TAGCTTACTAAGAATTTTTACTATGATAAATTATAAATTAAATCAAGTGCTTTTTCTACCTCTATTGAGATCATCATATTTTTTTACTTCAATTAATAATGTGCTGAATTATGTTGATTGCATTTTTATATAGATTTGGAAATGTTAAATCACTAATGAGTTCTTGGGGAGTCCCCACTTGGCCATAATGTATAACCTTTTTATATACCACTGTTATCAGGTTTGCTAATTGCTTTTAGTACTCTTGCAGGTATGCTCATGAGAGATATTGGTGGGAAATTTTTCCTTCTTGCATATCCCTGTCTAGTTATGTTATCAAACTTATGCTAGCTTCACAACACAAGTTGGGAAGAGTTCCATTTTTCTCCATTCTCTGAAAGAGTTTTTCTTTTTCTTTTTTTAACATTGATATTATTTATTTTTTTAACATTGGAACACAAATCAAGTCATCTAGCCTAAAATTTTTTGGTAGGGTGTTGTTTTTTAATATTGAATTCAGTTTCTTTAATAGATACAATTATTCAAATTGTCTTTAGTCTTATGTCAGTTTTGGTAATTTTCAATAAATGTATCTATTTTATCTAAATTTTCAAATTTACTGTCATAAAATAGTTTATATAATAGCTTCCCATTTCCAATATTGCTAATTTGTGTTCTGTCTCTTTTTTCAAAGTCATTCTTTTTTAAAGGATATTTTATTAATTATGATGTTACAGTTTTCCAATGTTTTCCCCTTTTCCCCCTCTACCTGATACCCCCCTTCCCTCCAACCATCCTTCCCTCAGTTTATGTCCATGAGTTCTTTGGCTTCTCCATTTCCTATACTATTCTTAACATCCCCCTATTTTGTAGCTACCAATTATACTTCTTAATCCCTGCGCCTTTTCCCCCCCGTTCCCCCCCTTCCCTCTCCCAGCTGATAACCCTCCAGATGATCTCCATACCTATGATTCTGTTCCTGTTCTGGTTGTTTGCTTAATTTGTTTTTTTTAGATTCTGTAATTGATAGTTGTGGATTTGTTGCCATTTTAATATTCATAGTTTTGATCTTCTTTTTCTTAAATACATCCCTTTACCATTTCCTATAATAGTGGCTTGGTGATGATGAACTCCTTTAGTTTTACCTTGTCTGGGAAACACTTTGTCTGCCCTTCCATGCTGAATGATAGTTTTGCTGGGTAAATGAATATGGCTTCTTTAAATCCTTGGTTGTTAGACTTCCATACAGTTCGATTTTTGGACACTTCTGGGTATTATTTGGTTTGATGTTTAGTTGTAATTCTCTCTGGTTGTGCAAGGAGGTGAAGCCTGTCTACCTATGCCTCCATTTTGACTGGAATTCTTAGTCATTTTTTATAGCAGGTTATCAACTATGTCTTTTTAAAGAAACAAATTTTTGCTTTGTTAATTTTCTATTTTATTTCTTCTTTGTCTTTATTGGCTTTCATAATTTCTTGATTATTTTCTCCATTTTAGTTTCTTTACATTCAACTAAAGAGTTGAATGGTTCTTTTTCTGGCTTCTTGAAATAGAATTTAGAGCATTAATTCTCAACTTTTATTTTGCATAATCTGTACAACTAAAGCTCTATATTTCCCCCTAATCATCATGTTAGCTGCATCCTAGTCATTTTGCTTTACTCTTTCTAATCACTTTAAATTTATTTTTAGTTCTTCTTTGACCGATAGGTTGTTAGAGAAGTATTGGTTCACCTGTGCTTTCTCATCTGGCAATCTCATTTTGGAATTTTCTAGTGTGATTTTTTATGATTAATTTCTAGCTTAATCTCACTGTCATCAGAGTACATACTAGATTTGATTTCAGTCCTTTGAATTTTGTTGATACTCACTTTATGGCTTGCCATAGCACCAACTTAGTAAATGTGCCATGGGCTGTAGATAGGAAAAATGTATATTCTCTAGTTCTTGGGGGGGTGTCATTCTACATATTCTTATCAACGAAGTCAAATGTATTAGCAGAGTTTGCTCAAATCTTGTGTATCCTTATAGGTTTGTCATCTTTATTTCTGACCAACTGGCTCTAAATCAGGGTTCCCATAACCCCTCTTTTGGTTCAATAATTTGCTGGAATGGCACAGAACTAAAAAACAAAACAAAACCCACACTTATAAAGGCTGTGATAAAGACTACAGATGAGCAGCTGATGAAGAGTTACAGAGGATGAAGTTAAGGAGGGTCCCAAGTGCAGGGGCTTCTGTTTCTGTGGAGTGGGGTTCAACACCCTCTGAGTGTGAGGATGGGTTAGGGTTAGGGTTTGGGTTAAGCTGCTAGATTTTGCGTCTAGGTTTTCTTTCTTTATTTAAAGAATATTAAAGACAATAAAGAGTGTATGGAAAGTCAGTAAAATACTTGCAGATCACTTCATGTCTTCCAAGGCTTGTTTGCAAGTGTATTAAGATGAGTCTTTAATAACCTTTACTCTAGGGCTTGTTTGTTCCTATTACTAAAGTGGGACTCTCCCGTGGTGTCTACTACTGCCCCATCCGCTTGCTCCTCCCTGGTGAGTTGGAACTTGAACGTGCCCCAGTCCTGCAGAAGCATTAGATCTTACTTAGCCTATAACTCCCCAGCAGTTATTTGCCCAGCCTCATGCATTTTCTCTTCATGCATCGATAATTTACGAGTAAGCAATAGACTCCAGGGGACCTCTACACCCATTTCTGAGGTTCTTTTTCTGCATAGCTCCCTCCTCACCAGTACTCTCTCTCACACATTTCCTTTGCAAACTCTGATGATCTCTTGTCTTCTCAGCCCAATAACTTTGTTCTGTTAGGGTTCTTCCCACCAGCACTGGGATCTGGAAGAAAGTGCCTTTAGGCAGAGGAAGCTATTGGGATTGTAGGCCTTACCTTGTTTATTCCTGTCCTCACCTTTATCACAGTTCTGCACTTCCCATTGTCCAATGCCTGGAAACCGCTGTTTCTAGGGCTTTGAGATGGCAGATCAACCCCAGAATCAGTCCCTCCATTATGGCCGGTGTGAAACAACCCTGCCAAGTTTTTTTAAACTTTGCAAATGAAAAGTGAATTGATGCCTAGAATGGTTGCTTCTATAAAGGAACAGGGTAAAGGCGAAGAGATTCAGAGGCACCTCTATCACTTTGTAGAACTTTGCCAGAAGTTCGAGAAATATATTATATTTGGAAACATTTTCTCCTCAATTTCAAAATGAAATTCAGTGGGAGTATTAAATTTGTTTCTGAGAGTTCAAAAGTGTTTTACCCTTAGCTTATTATAGTTTTTCCATTGAATGAAGGTGAATCAGGCAGTTTTACTAATACTGCAGTATTGTTAATTCTCATCAATGACAATGGTGAGGCTGCAGCTGTTGCTGTTGCTGATAACAGCATACACACACACACACACACACACACACACACACACACACAAGCACCTCCTGTGAACCAAGCATGGTGTTAGGCTCGTCACAGCAACACTTCCTCACCTTGCAGCACCAATCTGCACGTTAGAAAATCATGACTCCCAGAAACTCAGGAAGGTAAAAGTTAATTCCTCGGGCTCACACACTCAGACTAAATTACTGGGTGGTGGTAATTTACTGCTGCAACTGGGGAACAATCTCAGCTCACCGGGAACAAGGCCTCCCTCCATTGTTACGCTGCTCCCTGATTCCCTCCGCACCTGAGCTTTCCCATCTGGCAAATTAAAGTGGAAAAACAGTCGGCTCCCTCCCCAGAGAGGCTGTGTTATTATATAGTTGTTTTGCATTATTTTGACTCAAATGACAGCATATGTAAATGTGCTCCTAGAGGTTAAAATTATTTTTATTTTTATAAACTTGGCCTCTCCCATGAGGTAAATAGTTGAAAATTATGGAGAGAAAAAGGCAGATGGGAGGGAATGTTAGTTGGCTTGGAACTGCTTCTCTACCTTCCTCCCCACCCAACACATATCTCTACTCAGCTATAAGCTGCCACAGCAGAGTGAAACTCAGTGAATTTCCTGTCAGGGAGGCAGTCCTACCTGCTTCTGATATGCAGTGTCCAGGGTGCGTTAATACAGCTACTAATCATTAACTCTGCATCAGGTTGATTTGTAGGGGCAGATGTTCTTGCTGAGAGGAATAAAAGCCTCCTGTGGCACCTGGAAGACTTTCTCACACATGGTCCCCAGCCAGATCACAAAGAGATGCTGGTGAGCACAGGCACTTTGCTGCCTCTCACCATCCACCTCTTGGCCGGAGGCCAGCACATCCCCTCGATTCTGGTTGTCCCATGGGCCCTGCGTCGCCGAGCCCTCCCTATCTTGAACTGCCTTTCCTGGCATTTGAATCATCACTTCGATGATGTGATAATATCTGCAAGTTGAGAAAATAAAAGTGGCATTTGTTTAGCCATAATTAATGAAATATTTATGTTGCATGAGACTATGTGATAAAACCTTAGGCTTAGAGTCCTTTTGCTTCTGATTACATTTGGGATTTTTTTTCTATGACCAGACATTCTGACGCCAGCTCTTTTACACTGAGCAGATGTCATGTAGTAAAAATGGGTACCAGATGCTGTGAGCCGCAGAAGAGCGATTTGTTTAAGAGCTGGCTCTGACTTTTTTTTTTTTTTTTTTGCATTCAATTACTCTGCAGAACAAACCTTACACAAGCATTTAGGTAACTCAGCTAACTTCAGACAAGCATTTTAATAATAGATTTCATCTCTGAATGCATTCAAGCAACACACCGTATAAATGGTGTTTAAGGAATTAATTGATTTCTGCATAATACCTTTATTTTTTAAGGTGAAGAGAGAGCTGCAAAGCCCTTGGCAGGGACCCAGAAATGTAATTAACGTGGAGGGCCAAATTTTCAGTTGCCCTTAGGTACTGCCTCCTCATGCTCCTGGCAGGTGCAGTGAGGGGAGGGCGGGGGAGCGAAGGGCGTGGAGGGAAGAAGGGAGAGGCGGCTTTGGGTCGCTAAGTGAGAAAAGAAGCTAGAGTTCAGCAAGTTTTTCTGTTTCCCTCTCAGGTCCCAAGCACATCCCCAGCAGGGCGCAGGTGACAGGGGCTGCCTCTTCCACCTCCTCCTCTTCTGCAGACGAAGAATTTGATCCCCAGCTTTCCTTGCAGTCGAAGGTAAAAAACATTTGGCAAACCAAAGGGGGCCTTGGCTTGCAGGGCTGTTTACCCTCCAGATCTGAGACCCAATGTGGGCTCCAGCTGCGGTGGTTTCGTTGGGAGGATCACGTGTCATTGCATCTGACGGCCACTGCTCGTTTTACCTGAAATACCCCGAGAATTATCTCTTTGTTACTGTTGTTGTTGTTGTTGTTAACTTTTGTAAGCTTGCCTCTGTCAGAGTTGTAAAAACAGGGGAGAGGAAAAAAACCTGACGTGTCTACTTGGAACCATTTGGTGACTGCAGCTCTTAAAAGTGGGTTTCATTTGTGGTCCAACAAGCAAACTATTGAAAAAATCACAACACGCAGATGCCTCTTTCCCTGGGGGAAGCACAGCTTCATTTAAGAAGCACTCGAGACAGGTCGCATACAATGTGCTGTGTTTATTCTAATTAGAAATATGACATGAACCTCGCAGTTGCACGGAGGTATGGAGACTCCGAGGGCCCCGCTGTGGAAGGGACTAGTCATGTGCTGATGGGGGAGATGGCAGTCCCCACTCCTTGCCTCATGAACATTAATATTTCTGGAGACCGCTTTAAATAACTCCCATACCCACTAAAGAGCACAAATGTCGTATGTCTTTAAATGCAGCTGTACTTCACAAACACAGAGACACGCATCCCATGACATAAGCCCACCATTGTTTTTTCTTTTTTGTCCACTGGGGCTGGGGCAGTTTCACTGGGGCAGCGTGCTAAATGGATGGACCTAAAATGCTTCCCTGGTGGATGGAGATGCAGTTCACTGCTCTGGCCATGTTTATTTTTTGGAGCACTGAGGATCAGAGGAGAAAGGGAGAGAACCAGATTTATTTACTGAGACTCAACTTTTCCATATCTGGCACTAGGAGCTTTGGCGTCTTTTCAAGTCACTCAGGGGTTCCAGCTCCCCAAGGCCCAGTCTGGAGCAAGTCAGGAGGGGGCTGGGAGACGGCTTGAGTGCATGTGTGTGTGTGTGTGTGAGAGAGAGAGTGAGAGAAAGAATAAGAATGAGAGGCTATGTCTAGAGTCCTAATTGTGCAACTGTGGGTGTTGCTGATTAGTTCATTACTCAACACAAATGAATTCTATGTGTGTTGACTTCTAGGGTTTCCTTACTGCCCCTCTCATCTATTTGAGTGGTTCCAAGTTACTTCTGTATTCAAATGAGCATCAGCCATCCTGACACTTATGGCAAATAAAAGAATGGCATGGCCCAAACACATCCAAATTGCAAGGCCATGATATCTAAGGCATGCTTTGCAAGTAGCTCTTTGTCCTCCTGCTGCGCCAGGACAGAGCCAGTTCTGGCTTGGCTCACAGCGAGGTAAAGCCTGCTTGCTTCACCTGGCTGCTGATGTGACCACTCTCACAGGAGGGAAAGCTGGCCAAGGACTCCCCCTGGGCTCACGATGAAGGAACAAGGGGAGGTTCCCCCTCTGGTTTCCTTATCTCTTCTGCCCCACACAGGTGCATCCCCAGATGTGGGGCACAGAACCCATGTCAGCTCAAAGGAACCTTTGCACAGGACACTGGAGACGGGATGTACATACTCCAGGTCTTCCTTTTGCTTTGCCCCTCCTGGCTGGCTCTGCTCCCAAACCAGCTCTGGGTCTGAGACTGGGGCAAGCAGCTTGTCCTCATCCTACCAGGGTTCTCCTTTCTCTGTCCTTTATCTTTTTCTTCCTTATCCCTCAGTCTCTTCCTTTTCCTCTCCGTATGTCATCACCGTCATTGAGGACATAAGAACCATGCCTGACACTTCGTGAGGCCATCTGAGCATTAATAAATCATCCATCATTTCCATACCTATGTCTTTTAATAAAAAGCAATAAAGGACTTTCTTTCCTCCTGTAGGTTCTGTTTGTGCCAATTCTTGAGAAGGCAGTTGCGGGGCAGCAGCTTTGCTGCTGGGAAGTGCTGTTGAAGCATCTTCCCTTGATATTGTATTAAATGCTCCTAATTCAGGGGAAAACTTCGCCATTTCTATAAAGCAAGAGTCTTCTTTGTGCATACACAGTATTTGGCACAGGAAAGGTGAACCAGACAGATGAAAATGTGGATGCAGGATTCAGCTTACCTGGGCTCACGTCCTGGCCCTGCCCATTACTAAGTGTGTCCTCTTGGGCAAGTTAGTTTAACTTCTCTGAGTTCTGATTTCCTTACCTGCCAAATAAGTCCAATTAGAGGGATAGTCAAGATGATACATGTGAAGTAATCAGCACAGTGTCTGGCACATAACACTCAATAAATGCTGGGATTTCTTATGTAGGTTAGGAGAGTGTAAGCTCCAGAGATGGTTGTTAAATGAACTGACTCTTCACAGACTGAGTTAGACAGTCCGTGGTTAACAATCACCAGTGATCTCCACCATGCTCCTCCCCAGCCTTTCCAGAAAGACCTGGTGGCCTAATAGTGGGGTTCCCCCACTCCAATGGCCAGGAACCTCTGTTCAGAGTGATTGACAGTCAATCGGGAAGTCATTCCCTAGAAATAAAAATGATGTGATATGGAATAAATTTGAGTTCTGAGAGCCAGAATTTCCTTCCAAGGATGAAGGGGAGCATGAGACCCTTAGGATTCTAGATCCTCAAGGGAATTCTACAAAAACCAAGCTTCATATTGAGATAAATGCTTTCACCAATGATATGTAGATGTTCAGAACCCCAAAACCTGGATGCTTTCTAAAGGGTGTAGTGGTCTCTCCAATGAATGGGTGTCCAAATGACAAGGGTTTATGAAACCCTGGAAAGGCTGAGGCTTTTGAGACTCAATCTGTAACCTCTGTTATGCACCCAGATTCCTCTGGCAGGATCTAGGGTCAGGCCTGGTAGGTCTACTCCCAGTTGTGGATGCGTCCATCTGGAGTTTGTCCTTTTAATGGGCAAACTTTCGAATCAGCCATGGTTATTGAATACCCAGGCTCCAGCCTCACCGTAATAATTTTTTCATTCCTCGTTTGTTTCTGCCAGTATTAAAGAGGAGTCTCTAGCACACTCTCATCCTCATGCTGTTATGAAAAACTTATGTGTATGCTCAGAGAGGGCAAACTCATAGTAAAACTGGCCCAATTTGAACACTTTCTTTGTGAATACAGGGTGTATGCATATGTATAATTATATACTCCTACATACATTCACTCATGTAATAGATGAAAAATAATAGATTTTAGTGAAGAATTATAATAGTGCTCATTTGTAATAATAATGCTGATAATCAAAATCATAGTATGTACTGAATTTCTGTCCTATATCTCTTTCAATTATTCTGCAAAGAGCTCTACCCACCTTATCTCATTTAATCCTTATTAAAGGATTAATACATTTCTACAAAGTAGGCAGGAAGTCCTTCTTATCACTCTGAAAAGGACACTGAAGTTTGGAAAGTATGCGCTGCACTGAAGTGCATGCAGCTCAGCTGGGAACTGATGCCAGCTCTGCAAGGTTCCGGCCTCTGTGCTCAACCATTACCCTCTGCCCTTTCTCCAGGCAGAAGTGTCCCTTGAACTTCCCACTATGTGGAGCAGGTCACGGCATCCCCCACCCTTTCTCTGGTGTCTAAAACCCGGAAATGGCACCATCAGGATCCAGACACCTCTTTTAAATGCATCAGTTTTGAAGGTTCTGTATTTTACAAGCCCAGGCACACAGAGAACCCAGTGCTATGAATGATGCATTTGTACAGCAATGTGAAGTAGGAGGAGAAGCAATCTTATGCCTCTCTCCAGCCAAGAAAACGTTTCCTCTGATTTGCTCTTGTATTCTCAGGTTTAATTAGGCAGTGTAGAATGAACCTAAGGACTGTTTAAAGGACTTGTTTTCAAGTAGTGTACTTATGTGTGTGTGTGTGTGTGTTTTAGGCTCATCATCTTTGGGCTTTACGGTAGCACCCATAGAGAGTATAATTCTTGCATTATTTCTACCTTCAACTGAACCAAGTGCTCTATAAAGCCACTCCCAACCACATACCTACACACACATCCCAACACAACCACAGACACCAGTTTCCCAATCTAGCGCCTCCTAGCTACACGTGGCTATTAAACTCATTAAAATGAAATAAAATTTAAAATTCAACTTCTAAATCACACTAGCCTCATTTCGAGTGCCCACCTGGCTGGTGGCTTCCATATTTTAGAGAGTTGCTGATACAGAACATGCCCGCGATAGCAGAAGGTTCTATCGGACCTTCATTGTTCTAGAAGTTAGGCAGTGGTTCAGTTGCAGAGGGGGCAGAAGCCCATGAGGGTATTTTGTAAGTTTCAACCCCCATTTCTCCAACATATTGTTTTCTTCTCTGTTGGCTTTTGTAGGAGAGGAAGATGCTTAGAAGAAGAAGGAAGCTGGAAAAAGCAACACAACAATTGGTTAAGCAAGAAGAACTGAAAAGACTTCATAAAGCTCAGGTCAGAAAACAAACTGGATATCAGTGAGTGGGTCTGGGAGCCTGGTGATCTGGACCTGGCAGCCCTTTGGGAGTCTGTATTGCATCGGGGAGGTGGGCTGGAGACAGGCAGTTCCTCTCTGAGCAACCAGGTTTGTGGCAATGCTGAAGGTGCTGGCTCAATCCCTGGTGGCACTCTGGGGGCTTGGAGAGCCCAGGTGTTGATCTGGCTTCCCACCACCTTTCCACCTGCAGGCATGTTCCCAGCAAAATGAGCCTGAAATGACCGCCAGCACGTGGCCTTGGGAACATCCCAGGCCTTGACGGTTGCATGGCAGTGGTCTTTGGTGTGTCCTCTGTGAGGGCATGACCTTCCCTCAACTTTCTGCCAGTGACTCTGCTGCACTGACAACTATTAGGGGCTGCCTCTGTTTCCAAATTAGTTGACAGCATAAGAACCCAGCTTTCTGATACAGATTCCCGGCCTACTCCAAACATTTCTGCCCAGATTGATCTGCCCACCTCTGCCACAGACCAGCAAAGGAAGCAGAAAGGCAAGGCATTCCCCGTCTCCCTGGGGAGCCAGAGCTAGCCTTGAAGAACAGTTAGGTTTTAGGACAAAAGGCCTTGAATGACCATTCATATTAATCCAATGTACCCTTACCTTCCTTTCTCCAGTTATTCCCTGGATCTGGCCATGTGGTCCTGTAAGTTGTTTCTGAGAAGGAGGTAAATTTAATTTACCCTCCTTTACCCTTCAGAGTGACTAACTTGGGAGCTGCCCCTTTCACTGAGCAGACAGGGAAAATTCCTGTCAAGGTCCTCTGTCCTCTCCCAAATTCTAAAATAGGTCTCTTTGAAGCATTTCCACTTCCGCTCCTCAGAACAAGGTAAGTCTTTGTGCTGTGAATTGGCCAGCTCAGCAATGGCCCCTCCTCCTGTTTTCACTCCAGACAATAGGTGGCGGTAAGAGAAGAATTACAATGGCCTTTTGAGTCTCGATTTGCATTCCTTTTTAATCTTGGAGATTTTTGTCCTTAGTTTCTAAAGAATGACCATTAGAGCAGCCAGCCTGAGCTGCCATAACAATGTACCGCAGAGTGCGTGGCTCAGGTAACAGAAACGTATTCTCTCCCAGTTCTGGAGGCTGGAAGTTTGAGATGAAGTTGCCCTTGGGGTGGGTTTCTGGTGAGGACTCTCTCCCTGGCTGGTAGAGAGCTGCTTTCCTATGTCCTCACGTGGCCCTCTCTTTCTGTGCAGATGCAGGGAAATAGAGGTCAATCTCTGGTACCTCCTCTTCCTCTTCTATCAGGACATCAGTCCTATCAGGTCCCATCAGGTTAGGGCCCCGCCCTCATAGCCTTATTTACCTCCTTCAAAGTCCCAGTCTCCACGTACACTCCCTTTGGGAGTAAGGGCTTCAACATATGAATGGGGGGCAGGTGTGGGAGGAGGCTCCGCTAACTCCATAACAACCACACAGCCAAAATCACAAGTAATCAGTAATAAAGTTATTTCAATGTTTTCCTTCCTTTTGCAATTCTACACCATGCCAGCAAGAGACCGATTTATAAAGATATAATTATCTTTAAAAGAGAGACAGAGAGGAAGGGGGCATGAAATTACAAGTTGTAATTCCCATCTATTTCAGATTTTGTGTTTGGGGCTGAAGCGCGTTTAGTTGGCACAAGAGGAAGCAGGTGGCAGGCAGCTCAGGCCCCTCCTGCTCCGGCCTCTCCACCAGGTTGGAGGTGCTTTGGCAGCTGTACCCCTGCATCCAGGGGAGCCGGACAAAGATGTGGAGTTAAGGAGGAAGGGGAGAGAGACAAAGTTGGAGTAATTAGTGCAGAGGGGGAAGAACACACGCATTCTGTCTGCCCTGACAGCTGCCTGTTCCTTAAATTTACCTGGTCTGCCAGGTGCAAAGTCTGCTCTGCCCAGAGGTGTGCCTTTTGGCAGCAAGGTGTCTGAAAACAGAGAAAACTGATGGGACGAATAGAATGCACATGGGAAAGGCTTTCCCCTAATTTTCCTTCCTCATATACACAAAAGAGAAGAAGCTAGGAGTGAAAGTAAGAATGAAAGTGCAAATCCACTCATGAGCCCAAACCTTAATAAGTGCCGATAGTCAGTTCAAGGAGGGTGTGAAGTTGTTCCTTAATGGGATAAACATCTTGTATGTTAATAACCTGCTAGTAGCAATGCTACCATACACGGCCACAGTAAAGGCCCCTGAGCATCAGCCCCGTGGTGCAGTGAAGGAAGAGGTACAATCTGTAGCTCAGGACGGCAGCCAGACTGATGGGGAAAGGACACCCTGCCCCCAGGAGCTGGCCAAGGACTCCTGCTCCACACCAGCTTCTCCGGAGGGATCCTCTGGGTTTTCTTGGGAAAATGGAACATGAGCATGCTCCGTGTCTGCCCCTGGAGCCCCTGTCCTGCTCTGAGTCATGGCTGCAGCTCCGGCGCTTCTGCCAAGACCATAGTTGGGGGCTGAGTCTCCGCCAGCCTGGCCCGGCAGCCTCTGCCTGAGAGCATGTCTGTGTGACCGGCCTGGTTGAAGGGGACCGTTTTACCTTCTAGTTCGGGACAAACTGAGCTGACACACAGACCCCTTGCCTTATATCTTTATGCTAAAGAAGGGAGACGTCCAGGTACAGTTGTTTGGGAACTCAGAGGTCCTGGCCCCTTTCATCAAGGAGGTGACATCCCACAAGAAGGGGCTTCTTCCTCTTTGGAAGTGTGAGACTCTGCACATTGGGAGTCCCCATGTGACCTGAGACCCTGGCGTTGCAGGCCATCCAGAGGCAGCTACAGGAGGTGGAGGAGCGGCAGAGGGCCTCTGAGATCCAGGGCGTGAGGCTGGAGAAGGCGCTGCGAGGAGAAGCAGGTAGGCGTCCCGAGGGACCCTGCAGCCGTGGTCTGAGGACAGAGCTGGTCTAGCCGGTCCGGCCCAAACAGTGAGACTTTGTCACCCTCTGTCAGCGTCAGTGGACAGTGTGAAATCCACAACCACTTCGCACCTTCACAGTCAGCCTGGCGGCCTCATCTAAAAGTCCAAGGGGCTCAGGTAGACCTGTGGGCCTGGCCACTGGCTGTCCAGTCCACCAGGGGTTTGCTGTGTGCGTGTTCCTTGCCGTTCAGGGCTCAGTATAAATTCGGGAGAAACATTTGGGCCTTCAAGCAATGTTGGTAGAGACTCAAAGCCCAGACCTAAAGGAGAAATCCCGGTCTCTCCCTTTACGCACTGTGCAACACGGGGCCAGTCATGTTTTTCATCTTTATGAACTTTGTGTTCTCCTCTCAATGGAAATAATAGTGGTTTCCTACCTTATAGAACTGATGTAAAAATTGGAGGATAAATTATTTATATATATGAGTGTGTGTACATTTAGATATGTATGTATATATCTGTACATGTGCACATATAAATAACATTTATACACATATATATAAATTAGCACATTGCCTGGCACAGATAAAGCACTCAATGGTAGCTATTCTACTGATAGCCTCGGATTCTCAGATCCAAACAGAATTCATCTGGTGAAGACCTACTATGTGTTGGCCATGAAGACAGTGTATCTATAATGATGAAAATGACACAGTTTCTGCCTTTGAGAAGTCCATAGCCACTGAAGGGCCCAGACATGTAGAGAAATAAACCTCCACACAGGAGGACCAGTGCTGGGATGGGAATAAGCTGTAGGGTGCACAGGAAAAGAATCATGGGGTCCCTAACTGATTCTGGGGGAGAGGCAGTCAGGCAGGGCTTCCTGGAAGGGGTGACCTATTAAGATGAGAACCAGAAGAGGAACAGGGGTTAACGGGGAGGTGAGGAGATTATTCTGGCAGAGGGAGCAGCCCCTACAAAGGCCATATGTGAAAAAAATGTTAAATGCCTTAACAAACAAGGAGCCCATGGAGGGTTCTGAGGGGCGGGATCACTTCCAGAAACCTTCCCCGTTTTGGGAAACCACCTGGCATCTGGGTGGCTAGTGAATTGGAGGGGGTCCTTAGAGTTTGTGGAAAGTGCTGTCTCTTTAGCTTTGTGACATGATGCCTTTAACCCTTTATATTTTGAATATAAACTGTGAAAAACCGAACACTGAAAACACATTTCTCTCTGTGCAGCTGTGAAAATGTGTTCCTTGTTAAACAACAGAGTGCGAGGTTAGCATTTCACTTCTCTTAAAAGTGCAGCTATTTGCGAGTGATGGTACTGGCAGGGGCGGACCCAGGTTTTGTGAGCCCCGAAGTGCCTACAATGTCGTGCATGCGATATCGCGTGGGCGGCTCCCAGAGCCTTGCAAGGGTCCATCCAAGTGAGGGCCCGTGGTTTCAGATGTATGAGCCATATGGTAAATTGGTTTCTGGAGAACAGGGAGACAGTGGAGTCTGACTTTATCCTTCTGCGCCTTAGTTTCCATGTTTGTAAAGCAAGAGCAATAATCACATCTGTTTCTTGGATTTGTGGTGAGGATTGGCTGAAACAATGTATATGGAAGCTCTAGCATGGTGCCTTGACTATGGGATGGATGGGATAGATGAGTAATAAATGCTTGTGCCTTTTCTTACTGAAATACGCTACGCATTTTTTTTTGCAAAGAAAACCCAAGTCCACTCATCGGAAGTAGGATTCATTGCAAAAGTGGTAACTATTTCTGGCCACTGGGTGTGAGAGTCACTGCCTGTCTTTGCAGCTGCTCTGGGGGCCTTTGGCACAGCCACCTGCCCTTGTTTGACATTTGGTCACACTCCCAATTAAGAAAGCTCTGGCACTTTTCTTTAGGAATCCACCGATTCCAGGGAGAGCCTTAGAAATAAAAAAGGACACACCAGTAAAGCTAGGGCATGTTTCAGTTTGCTGGGGAGGAAGTGGGAGGTAGTGGGGGAGGTAGAGTTATAGGCATCAAAGAGCACTGGGTTCAAATTCTGTTCTGCATTCAGGCTGTGTTGGTCCTAGGAACTCACTCAACTTCCCTGGTCCCATATTCCTATCCCTGAAGGTGGATCGTCTCCCCAGTACCAGGTCATTTGGAGAAGTAAGGGTATTGGTGGGCAAAGTGTCTCCCAGAGTGTAGGTGATAAATGCTACCTGATATTATTGTTCAAGACATTAATATCCACATACATACACTTTTAACAATTGTCTCTCTGATCTTCAGTACTTCAGGTTTAAACTCTAAAAACCAAATTTTTGACACTTCTGAAAATCTCCCTCACCCCAAATGTGAAGAAAGGCTATTTTGAGTTATGAGCTAAAGAAGCCCAGGCAGCCTGTGCTGTCTTCAAAGGTGTGCTGGCCTGGCCAGAAATGGGTTCCATTCATTCTCTTCACGTCCTTTGTGACTCAATTCCCCTTTTCCTCCTGGATTGTCCCCGTGTGGGTTATGACTGCAAGTCAACCAGGGACAGAAGATGCAAAGAGTCAAGTCACGGAGAACAGCCCCAAAGGGGACCGTGTGGGAGATTTGCAAGCCAGGCACCAAAATTAATACACTCTGACTTGTAATAACATTTGTGCAACAATAATATTCCTTTCCAGTTTAATATTCTATCCAGCCCCTTTAAGGGATTGCCCTGGTGCTTAATGAATGACCAATGCTTATTAGGTTAAGTTATATTGGAGCTGGCCTGTGCTGCTCTGGTTCAAGTAATTTAATGGGAATTATTTAATAGGTATTATTAGGATAATTAGAAAATGATCACAGTTAGGCAATAATATTGAGCTATAAAGGTTGTGAATAACCAAATTTAGAGACAGGCCTGAAAACATGAGTCGTCTGTGCCGGTTAGGCAAGTCTCCTCCAATAATTATGTGAGCCAGCCTGAAAGGGTCTTTTGTTCCGGAGTTATTCATTAGGCAGGCATTGAATTAGAGGAGCATGCGGGGGTTCAGGGCGGAGGGCACTGATGGCTGATGAGCAAAATGAGGCTTTGATGAGCTCCTAATTGTCGGGACAACAATTCTTGCTTTCTTTTTTTTCCCCCCCAACGGTCAGAAATAAGCTTCCCCACCCCCAGGGAAGGGTTTCCCTCCCCATTTTCTCAAGAAAGGGGAAACTGAGAAAAACAAAAATCCAGGAATCCGCCCCAGAAGACAAGTCATTATGTTCTGTAGAGTGCACGCATGTGCATGTGCACATTACACACGGATGTCCTTGTCCGAGGGAATGAACTCCCCCGCGGGTCCTGGCTGCCCGGAGTAACAGACCAGGACATGCCAAGTCCCCACTGCCCTGGGCCCCACCTTCTGTCAGGGGGCCAGCCACAGCCTAGGCGGCCACTTAGATTTTTCTCAATCAGGACCCTGTTACCTATCAGTTGCTTGCTTGTCAGCGTGGTGCTCAGTGTTTTGTGCTGGGGGCCTGGAATACCCCCACTTAGCAAGAGACTGCCATTCAAACTTAGATGGTCTGGATAACAGAATTTGTTCTTTCTTTTAATACCTAGAGACAGATGAAATCTGATTTAAAAAATGTGTGACTTTTTGAAAGAGAAAGGATTTATCCCCAAGAGAAGTATATGGGAATTATTCCTCCCTTAGGAATTTACCAGCTTCTGGGAGCATTTACCAGCTGGTTGTCTGCATTGAGTTTCCTGTCCTTTTTTTAAAAAAAAAAAAAATATTATTATTATTGGAGCTGTAGGGCTCCTCCATCCTATAGAGGGGTTTGCAAAGAACATCAGGGTGTGTGAGGCTGCCAGCAGGTGGCAGCAGGAGCACACACTATGACTAGAAATTGCAATGAAAACTTAAGTGGGAAGAGGGATGTACTCTGGTTCACACTGTGGTTTTTTATCTTGACTGCTGCTGAGGAACAGAAGGAATAATAATTTTCTGGGTAATGTAATGGCGAAGTTTCCTGAAAAGGACAGAGATATTCGAGTCAGGCACTCCTGAGTCGAACTCCTGACACCCTTCATAGAGAATGGCAAGGATTAACAAGCCTCCAAAATGATGGCTAAGCAAGAAAAGAATATGGGTCACTTTGCCACACCTCCATGGTTCAGCTGAAATAGGACACTCCTGAGTCTGAACCCCAAATAGCCATTAGATAACAAGGACCTTTTCGTCAAACTTTCTCACCTGTGAAATGGACTAATCATACCATCCTCACAGGGATGATATGAAGAAGAAACTAAATGAAATAGTGTTAGTAAAGCACCTAAAAAGGCTGCCTGGCATACAATTGGTGTTCAGAAAAATTAGTTCCTTCTTTTTTTCTGTTTTTGCTTAACTCCTCCCCCTTTTACACCCAGCTCCCAAACTCCTCCCCTCTGACAGCTGTCAGTCTGTTCTCTGTATCTGAGTCTGTTTCTATTTTTTTTGTTAGTTTATTTTGTTCATTAGATTCCACATATAAGAGAAATCATATGGTATTTGTCTTTCTCTGACTGGCATATTTCACTGAGCATAATACTGTCCAGGTCTATCCGTGCTGTTGCAAAGTAAAATTTCCTTCTTCTTCTTCTTCTTTTTTTTTTTTTTTTTTACAGCCAAGTAGTATTTCATTTAGCAATGTACCACAGCTTTTTTATTCACTCATCTGCGGATGAACATTTGGGCTGCTTCCAAATCTTGGTGATTATAAATAACACTGCAATAAACATACCTCCTCTTTTCTTTCCTGCTCCTATCATTATAAATCACAGCTGGATGGGCAACCGTTTTTCAGATTGCATTTAATTTGTTCATTGCTTCACATTCATTTATAACTACACCCCCTAGAAGAGATTTAAACTAGTTTGTGTGTGTAAATAAATAAAAACACATGAATCTCACATGCCTGGTGCATATTAGGATCTCAGTATAGACTCACGCTGTTACCCTCGCCCCCAAAACAGTTCAGGAAAAGCAGATTAGCAAAGAGGACCAAACACTGG